ATCTGCTGCTGCACTAAGACTCTCCCAAACAAGCACTGTTCAAGAAAGAACAGCAAAGGAGAGTCAAAACCCAGCTTAAGTTTTATATATGTTTCATAAAATAAGTCTTTTTTCAACATATTTCATGTGATTTCTGTAAGGAAAATGTCAAACCAGCTCACCAACTTTAATCTAAATAAATTTCATTTATTTTATAATGAAAGATTTTTTAAATCTAATCTTTAGATTAGGTTGGGAAAACTTCACAAGAAAGCTCGTTTTTTCAGTCCTCTTTATTTTCCACCCTCACCTAATACATTTGTAACTATGACCAAGGAAAACGTTTTATCACTGCTTACAAATCAAGTATTTGGTCAATACACATATTCATTTTCATCCAATGAAAATAATGCTTTCTAGAATATGATCAAGTGTAGAATTGTCAAGTGCAGATGTTTTTTAGAAAAGAATATGTTACATTTTCCATAGGTTCCTGTTTACAGTCAGAATAAACTACTTCATAGTATTTTGAATTTAATTTATTGTAGTTGTGCAAAATGCTCTCGCACATACCCACACACACCCTATGCTTCCCTAGAAAACTAACTAAATAATCAAGCTTTCCTATTCAATAGATAGACTTTACATGAAAAGATGATCAGTGGTGCTTTGGAGGGAAAAATTATTCAGTTACAGTCCTGAATTAATTTTCTATGGAAGCCATTGAATATTGGTAATTTTCAATGCAAATCTGTTAAAATACATGCAATGGTATTTTGTAGTTGTGACCAAGACTTACTGTTCTTTAATTATTTTGAATTTTAATGAAATTATGTTAATAATTCACTGATACAGCATATATTTACACAACTTAAAACTATTTTTATTTAAACAAGCATTTTCTTGTTTAAATAAATATTTAAAAATCCATTTTAAACATGCAGAGTTACTTTTAAATTATTTTAAAGCACAAATTTAGCTAAGGTACTTCATATGCTTTAGAAAAGATGCATTCAGTATCTTTAAGTTTCATTCTCTTGAGGTGACTTTACTTATTCAGGGAATAGAGACATCAATCATTGTGTAATTTTCCAAATATATTAAAAATTGACATAAATAAAAATAGTGGGGAATCAGAGAGAATTAATTCCATCACATACACATCTAAAAGTGTTTTTAGTTTTATGAATTCTTTGCAGCAATTTTCATTCCCAGTCACTGGGGTAAAAGGATGTCTGTAACCAGGACCCCTTATTTTCAGATACCTGATATGTAACTCAATATGTCTTCCATCTGGCTGTCAGCATTTGAAGTGCACTCTGCTCAGCTCTCTTTTTGAGCTGACACTGCTTCCAGCTGAGTAACAATATCTGTAACGCACTGCTTATGTAACGGGAATTGCCTGACAAAGGTAGATTACAATAGTGCTGCTGCACAAATGCAGAGATTAGAAATCCAGAGATGAAAATACGTATATTTATTTTAGTTTTGTTCAAAAGAGAAAGATGAGCAATTGACTTGAAACACAAACAGATTAATTCCCTATTCAACCTGATTCCATTCTAAGCACTTCTCCTGAACTGTCAAAGTAATTTTCTTTCTTTTCTCCCATCTCAAGTGTCTTACATTCAAATTGCTATTATTACTGCTTATATTACAGGAGGATTGGGTCACAGTTCATGACCTTTGAGGCCAATGTCAGCAAAACACTGAAGATCAATGCTAGATTCTGATTTTTGGAACTGGGTCTATCCAGTTTAGAAATAGATAAGTAAAGCATAATTTTTTTGTTTCAGGACTGCTTCTGGTCACTTATTAGGACCAGAATTTATCAGGGTTTTTCCCCCCTCTCCTTGACATACTACTACTGTATTTATTGTCCTTTTCTATATATGGTTATTTTCTTCCAGATATAGTTGCAGAGTCGCTGATTTTGAGTCAGAAAGGAATTTTTTTGCAAGACTTAGGAGCTACTGAAGACATGTCATGTCTTCATGCCGTCATGTCACAACATTTTAATTCCATGCTAATGCAAGGTCCAAGAATTATGGCAGTGTATTACCTGCTTTATCTCTGTGATATAACACTGTTTTCCCACAGTTTACCTTCAGTCTGCTAAAAGCTCTTAGTTTGTGCCACGGCATTAAAACGTTTTGTGGGGTTTGGAGTATGCCCAGAATGAAATAGATTTTCAAGGATACCTCTGAATGAAAGTCCAGCCACATGGATTTCCTAAGCTGAGCTCAGCCCAAGGGACACCCTGCAACAAGGCTTGGCTCACTCCAGGGCCCAGCTGTGGAAACACAGCTGACCAAGGTACAACAGGGCATAGCAGCTTCAAATCTGTGTGTCCGATAAGGCAGCTCTCCATTCAATGTGGCATCAAGCAGGCAAACAGGTACTTGTATAAAAATATGATGAGGAGTGGAGAGGAAGGAACGCTCCTAAACAAGCTGGAACTGTGTTTTGCAGGGAATTATATCTGTCTGAGAATTAACATTAACCATCAGTGCATACAACAATGGAACCACACACACATTCAATTTGCCATGAAAACAAGAAATCTGAGCTTTCTAACCCATTGCTGAAGTTAACTTTGTAGAAAAATTGAGCAAGATGCAGAAATTAAACATAAAGGATCATAAGTCGCTAGCTTAATAGACAGAAAAAATGTAAGCAGAAAAAAAAAGGATTATGCAATTTGACAGTTTGATGTGTGAGTCAGCAAAATAGTTTAGAAATGCCCTAGAAACAATCAGAATGTTCAATTTCCCAATTAAACATATTCAAATATGAGATGCATTCAAATATATTTTGATTGACTGCAGGTCAGATTTATTTTTACTTGATCTAAATAATAATAAATATTGCTAATTGAGATATTTAAAGCAGTAAAACAGTTTTTACAAAAAACAGCACTATATCAATATTTTGTTAGGCAGAATTTAGAATTTATGGAAATAAACATAAGAAGATTAAAGAGCAAAAAGGAGAAATACTTATGATATTTATGATTGTGCACTGAGGATGCAAAGCAAATATGGGAAGATTTATTTGCTCTTGATTAAGATTTGTAGAGGAAATGGACTCACTGAAATAGCCCTGCATGACATCAAGAAAAGAATTAAAAGCCATTTCTTGTGAGAATCATAATTTAACTTATTCTACTTTTAAATCCTTATATTTTTGGGGAGAGAGAGGAAATCATCCTTATAAAATATAGTTCAGAGAGAGAATTGACTCACAAGTAACGCTGTGGAATTATTTCATCATCTGCACCCTGATGTAACTGAATATTCATCAACACTATGTCTAAATACAGGCAAGGTTTTAATTTAGAAGAAGCATGTCTCCAATCATTCCTTCAGTTACATTTTCCTTTGTCTTCTAGAAGGAACAAACTCAAGGAAATATCTTCTCTTTAGTAAACATGAGAACAAAGATAATTCTGGGAAATGCAACTTTAAGTTGTGTGCAAATAGAAGCCAATTTCAGGTACACGTTTAAAAAACTAGAGTAAATTTCCTTGAAGAAACAGTTAGCTACTGGAACAATTTTGTAAATCTCATCCTTATAAAGACATAGCATTTTTTAATATTCTATCTTCACATGATTTTAACAGGACAAAACACCGTTGGAGTTTATGTGATCATAAGGAGGTATAAAATTGTAAGGAAATGAAGTGCATGTAGTTTTGGGGTGGAAACTTACACATAAAGAAATCAAGAGTTGAAGAAAATTTAGGTCAAAATAGTCCTCACAGTGCAACACAATCATATGCCCAGACAGTCCCGGCAAATGTATTGAACATGCTGACAAGCAAAGCCAGATATACAGTGTACAGGCAGCTAAATGTTGTCTAACTTGAGATGGAGATCAAAGGGAACACTATGAGGAGAAAAGATTAAGAGCTCTTTAGCAAATCTTCCTTATATATGTATCAAATAAAAGTGGCATATATTCAGTTTGCTATTTGAAGATTTGTTTCAGACTGTGATTGTAAATACAGAATGTGGAATATTGTGTCTTTGAGGAGAATTTTTGTCCTGCTTCTTTAGCCCAAGCATCCTGCATCTGTAGCCCAACATCCGTTTCTCACCAACTTAAGTCACTGTACCAGTTTCTGAAGAACTCAAGCAAAGGTCAAAGGTTTCTGTCAAATCTGTTCCACATCAGAAAAAGTGATGTCATATGTCATCAGATTTATATTTGCATTATATAGCTTTATAAAAAAAAAAGACACAATAATGCTGGAGAAAAGGTTTCTTCCTACAATAAGTGGATATTAATTGAGTCAAATGAAAATTCAGTCAAATCAGTGGAATTGAAAATAGATCACCACTTCATGCATTTATTTAGACTTTGTAATGTGCTTTATTTAAAGTTAGGATGCTGTGGAACCAAAAGGAGCAATTTTTAGTGAGTAGCCTCTGAAAAAATAGCAGTAAGAATGATCTGTTTTCTACAGATATGTGTTTCCAGATTGATTAACTCTAGTGTCTAAGAAAATCCCAGCTCTAAAATTCTGCCTGATGCTTCTGCCCTGTATGAAAGTGGATTCTCTTCTGTTTTATAAGAAATGAATGCATGGTGACACTTCCTTACAGAAAGAAAGATAGAAACTCTTTTACTGACCATCTGTTTTAGCAAACCATTTGGAGACAATTTCTAGTTTTGTTTCCAGAGGGTGGAGTAATCAATCAGATTTGGTTGAAATTAGTGTGAAAATTAAAGTAAAGTGGGTGTTTATAGGGAAAGTAATATCTATACCTGTGATTGCATAAGATATATATCCTTAGGAGGTTATGCTAAATAGATAAATACATCCATGTTTGGTCTGGGTCTTACCAGACAGATTATTACACTAGATGGAAGTAGACACTTATCCAGTCCAGTCAATATATTCCTCATATACAGAACACATGTAGAGAACATCTGTATTGATATATGAGCATATGTAGAACAAGCCAATTGGAACAACACTGAAGTTTCTTACTTTCCCTTTTTTCCCACCTTTGCAGAGTATTTGGCGCTGCTATACTGCTGACATCTTCCCTCAACATGTTAATACCATCTGCAGCCAGGGTGCACTATGGATGTGTCATCTTCGTTAGGATCTTGCAGGGCCTTGTAGAGGTATGGAAAAATTATATAACAAATAGTAAATGTGATAGATGTTTGTTAGCCTTTAACTAGCAATTGTAGCTTTGGAATGAAGAGAGAAATGGTTTTGAAGTTATTACTGATATTGAGTATAAACAATTTCAGTGTATGAATTATAGCTATTTGATTTTTCTTCAGCTATAAAACTTCATGGCAAAGTATTCTCTGGCTGAGAAGCCAGTGGGATATGCATTTAGCACTGACATTTCACTAAACTCCTACACTGCATAAAGCTTATACTGGTGTAATTCTCAACAATTACTTGATGGTCAGCATCCTAGAATAAACATATAATAAAAACCTAAGGTCATAGCTTAAGTCCTGACCATGCCATGTTTTTCTTGGAATGAGTAAAAGATTTACTATAATTTAAAAGAGGAAAAAAAATAATTGAGCCTCGCCTCACCTCATCTCCCCTTCCCCTTCCCCTTCCCCTTCCCCTT